CATCCGTCAAGCTTCAACCGGCACAACAACGCGCATAGCCGCTTGTGAGGAAGGACAGCCGCAGCCACAGCCACAAAAGCGGCAAGGGGCGGTACAAGCGGTTTGTAAACAGACGCAACCGCAACGATTAACAAAGATTCTTCGAAGCATTCCTCGCTTGCCCGCGTTGCAGAGAACTCATGCTCGCCGCCCCCACCTAATCAACAGCAGAGCGCGCAGTGAGTCTACGTCAGCAGCATAAAATAGTGCCGTAGGTGTTTGGCTGCTGCTGCTGCTGCTGCTGCTGCTGCTGGTGCAACGACGCGATCGCAAGCCTTTCGAGTACTGGAGGGCAGTGAGTGACGTTTATGCGCTCAACTCGGCATGGGCGACCTACAAGCAACAATTGAATTTTCCGTTGAGCTCTACAAATTCTTCAATGTTGACTTATTTCAACGAGGGTAAGTTCAAGATGCTCTTATTTTCATACTCATTTTATTTCGCATTCCCATTAGCATTCATTCCGTATGTATGTATTTATGTAGTATGTATGTAGATATGTAGAGAGCTGTATGAGCTGATGAGCGGGGTAAGCAGTTGACAGCAAAGTGCCACTGTCACATTTAAGTATTCACAATTCGCATTGCGTTAGTCAACTTGACATTAACATTTACGCATATTAATTCCATTGTGTATAACGGCGTACAGAGCGATTTACATACATATATGTATCTTTTGTTAATATCTACATACCTACATATGTACGCAAATTTGTAGGCATGGCATGAGTGACATGAGTATTCGCATGATATGATGAAAAGGCTGCAGCACTTGAAAGCAAACTGATTTCTATGATAGTAGCACTCGACATTCATTCATCCGAATTTAAGTGTTTGGAAAATTTATTTTCCATTTGCGATTTCTTTTGCATTAAAAGGAATGCAAGAGGCATTTGTGCCTCAAAGTGTGCAAACTAAAGCGAAAGATTAGCATAAAGAAGGTGGTAAACTTATGTACTTAATTCCTCATAGAGCAGAAGGATTTTTTAGAAAACCTACTTTTATGAAAGAGTGATGTTAAGCAAAGTTCGATTTCCCTATGGGACTTACAAGTTGACAAGGTGGCAAAAGGCATTGTTAAGGAACAGAATCGATTTTTAATTGCATTAAAATTAACTACCGCATTAAATTGGGTGGTGCTAAAGAAAAAAAAAACCTTTTGTGATGGTTTATTATGGAACTGATATAAATTTTAAACGTCTATGATTTTCAGTTTTACCATTATGAAATGTGGATTATAAATCGTAACTAAGTTTTCTAACACTAACTAAAAACAAGTTCTAAGATTTGATATTTTCATAATCTTTTCTTTAATAAATTTTATAACCTTTTGTTCACATTGTTTATTGTTAAAATGTTGTAAGACCACTTTTAGCAACATTTATTTTTGCATTTCACATGAAAAAGTGAAAAAGTATTCGCCGCCAACATGTGTTATGTATCAAAGACTTGCGTCAAAGAAAAACAACGGCAAAGCAACGCGAAAGCCGCATGTGGCAGAGCCTTAAATTCAGCTTTTTGTCTTCCCAACATGCTAAGGTGTTATTTAAAATAAACCGTTAGAAAAAATATTTTAAACAACAAGATTTATAAACCACAATCTCAATGTTGGCTATAGGCAACAACGGGCATGAAAGGGTTAAGTCTCAAATAAAAATGTTATTGATATCAGTATCATCATCTTTTCGTTCTTACAATTTCGAATTTAAATCTCAAGATTATTTCCACATATCGTCGCTACCATGTCAAACTAGCGAATGTTAAGGAGGAGGTTATCAATTCGTCGGAGTATTTTTTTTTTGTTTTTTATGTATATTGCCGTATAACTGTGTACCGCCTTAACCGATTTCTAAAATTATTTTTTTAATGGAAAGATGGGGCATCAGAGGTTGTCCCATATTAGTACCTAGCAGAAACTTACGAGCTTAGTGTGCTTAATGTCTCAAAAAACAAAATGGCGCGCCTAGGCGTACAGTTTTTTTTACTTTATTTAATAAATAAAAAAAAATCTATATTCCAGTACTAAAACTAAGTCTTGACAAGTCTTGGAAAGCCAACAAAAATACCAATATTTAAAATTTTTACTAAAAATGTATAGCAAAATGGGTCGATTTTAGATTTTCTAAAGGAATGCCATATTAAAATCAATTAATTTAAATTTAGTTTTAAATAATAGAACTTACCTTCTTTTTCCATGCCCAAGAGGTTTTTTGTTGAAATAGGTCTTCACTAAAACACAACTACCGAAGAAACAAGTCGAACGATTGAACGGGGAGAGAACAAAAAAAAGCGATCACAACATTGACTGTTTTCATGTGGACGTATGTCAAAGGGAAAGCAGCGGGTAAAATTTTAATGGCTGCCATTCAATAGATCGGTTATTTAATTTTAGAAAAAGTATGTTTAACTCAACTGTTTCCAAAGTTGATATATTGACTTTTGACTGGATTTTTCAGCTAAATACTCTTACGTGCGGCGGTCAGACTTTTGAATAAATGTGTCACAAAGCAGCATAATCAATTTTATTATACATAAATAATATCGAAGGAGAATTAAGTAAAAATTAAGTTTTTATGGAGACAGCATGATAACAATCTGTGCTCAAGGCATATCGACGCATCCAAACCATACTATGCTAACAGCCAGTTTCACCAAATTATTTAAGTGAAAATTTTCGAATTTTCGGTTTCACCAATCAGTTTTAATTTTGATTTAAGTGACCTATGCTCTGCACTTAAATAAAAGTTAAATCAGAACAACCACACTCAGAGGTGTTACACGTTTAATCACCTGATCATTGTGTATCAGCTGCTTACTTGTATACCAGCCCTACTTTTACAACACAGCGTGCCAAAGCTTTCAAAAGCTCTCAGTACAAATGAAAGCGAAAGCTAGTCCTAGTCTGTTTTACAACCACTTTTTACTCACTTAAATAAATAGTTTATTGAAACTGAAAATTATTTAAATGAGAATTAAATACAAAATTAAATTAAAGTTAATTTCCACTAAAATAGTTTGGTGAAACTGGCTGTTAGCATGGTAAGAATTTCAATAAATCTAAAATTAATCGATTTAAGAAACCATCTACATTTATCGTTTTTCAACAAAGCTTCACAGAATATTGTACAATCATACATTTTTGTTCTTTTTTCACTCTTCCGTTGCAGTTTTAAATTTTCCTATTAACTACAAAGTGAGTACTTTAAAGTTTAAATGAACAACAATAGAAAAATTATCTGCTGAGGATATGACGAAAAATGTAAAAAGGCGATCCCTATGTTCTTCAGAATAAAAAAGTTCTCGAATTTCCTTGCAAAAATGTAATCTAATGTACATACGTATAAGTGCATTTGCATATGTATATATTAACGTATGTACTCGTATGTAGATGTCTGATTTATATACGGAACTACATACATATGTACATAAAAAATATATTTTTAGCTTTCCACATGTTATTTCACATGGTTATTATAGGGTGGTGAAAGCAAACAGCTTTAAATAAAACCACAAGCAATTAATCTGTGCGCAATTTGATAGAGTTCGCAATTGATATTAACTGTATCTAGGTATTTTTGTGGCATCCGACTTTGGGAATAATTCTGTGAAATAGACATTTTAGGGCATAAAACAAACTACGCTCAAACATTTTGTATACATACATACATATGTATGTACATATGTATAGCGTGCGAGCATATATTGATTGAGCCCCAGTGCAATTTATTTTTATTCATAACTCGATAAACTTTACTAACACAAGTCAATTGTAATAGAAATTGTTTGCGTTCTTAAACTATCTTGGAATTTAACATGCAATCAAATGAATGTGCATTAGGGTGGTCCAACAACGCATGTGAAAAAGTAAAGTCGGAATTTTTATACTCCCACCCGCTGGGATTGTTCTATACCGTAAAAAGTATACCCTTATTTTTTTATTTTGAAATCAAAAAATGTACATATATTTAGAGGTCGCTCAAAGCACCCAAAGTTTTCCATGTATTTTATATGGGGGAATACAGCTTTTCGTAGAAATTTTATAGAATAGATAAAAATCAATATTTTTCTACTAGAAAACTCTGTTTATCTGCAGGAGATTCCCAGTAATAATACCCAATTGTTTATTTAACTTGCAACTATAATTTATAGGTCCGCCAAAAACCTCGAAAAATGCCATGGGGCGACCAATAACAAATCGCTAGTTTTAAAAAATGATTAAATAAACAATTGGGTATTACTATCGAAAAAATATTGACTTTCAAAAAGTCTATGCCATTTCTACGAAAAAATTTATTTTTCCTATATAAAAGTACATAGAAATCTTTGAGCGCTTTGAGCGACCTCTAAATATTTTTTGATTTTAAAATGAAAAAATAGGGGTATTACAATTCCCACTTTACTGTTTTGGACCACCCTAATGTACATACTACATATCTAGCGATAGATGTATGTATGTATACTAATTACAAACATTGTATTATTAATTGGCTCACTTTTCGTTACATGCCCACAAATCCACTTATACACTTTCATATACCAATCAATAATTCACAGTGTAAACAAGTCAAATGAAGAGGCTTTTCAATAAAAGGCAACCTTCACCTCAATCATGGCATGGCTCTTAAATTAAAAGCTTCTAAATTTTGCTTTGAACTTTTATTTACACAACTATTTTTAAAATACTACCACCAGAACATGTAAACTCATCTACTTACTCGTTGATTGCTTGGCTGGCTTGGCTGGCCTAGCAGAAGCCAATGTCATTGAAAATCGCTGACAGCAGTTTTGACATTCCACTGACATCTGTGCATGTTGCGTGCAGTAAATATATCATATTAAAAATTAATTAAAGCCAACAGGGAAATAAGCGCGCGAAGGCATACACTGTGCACTAAATACTTCGCCGCATGCGCTGCACGCCTCTCCGCTTTTTTCCCACGAAGATAGCGAGCATTTTATTTTAGCTCATCGCTTTTGACATTTACGCCATTGAATACTATGAAAAACCAAATTAAATGGCATCACACAAATAAACCGTACATTAGTTCTAAACATACATATGTATGTGCATACATACTATGTACATATTTATAAATATGTATGTAGGTGTCTGCCGTTCCCACACAGCTACTCGCAACACTCCCCGTCATCGCGGCAGTCAAGCACTCAACAAATCAGTTGATCGTTTATGAAAAGCACATGTCAGCTCCAGAAGCCATAACAAATAATTTGGCATTTTCGACTCGCTTGTTGCTTGTTGTTGTATTATTTATTTTTTTTTTAACAGCACGCATTCTTTTCACAATACACATTTCGCGAACATCGGAGTGCATGCGTTGCTCATACGCCATGTACGTCGTCTGCCCATCTGTCTACTGCTCTCGTCTCAGCTCAGCTGGCGGGCCGACTGTTCGCCTGCACCACTCTACTACATACATACATACATATGTATGTGGCTATAGCTGCCTTGCCACTCTTATTATTTGGTGGATATTTTCCTGGGTGCTCAAGTGGAATTTGCACAGCTAAATATTTATGCTCAGACGATGTTACGTTGAAGAGATTAAAAATAAATGCATGTTTTCCGCCGCGAAAAGGCCAGAAAAATACGCGCATGGCGGCATTTAAAGAGCTTGCCGAACTGCCAATTGACAAGCGCGCTGTGAATGTGAAGTGGGTAGAATAAATAAGCTTTTTGATGTGAACGCACCTGATAACTGCTTGCCCTTCTGTATAAAACTCATCAGCGACTGTTTTAAGCTCTTTTTTGTAAAAATATACTTAACTTATATGTATGTATGTCGTAACGTCTCGGTAAATCATATTCCACATTTATATGAATTTATATCTCTTCCACAGCCTCTATCAGGTACGTTGCGGCCTGCGTGTCTCACCGCGACTTCCCGTGCAGGTGGAAACCAGTATACCAGACACACCGCAAAACAATTCACATTCGGCAGAAGTGCACACACAAGCGCAGACAGCCACGAACGGTGGCAGCGGTGGTGGTGGTGACAGCAGCGGCGGTGACGGGGGCGGCGAGGGCGAGGGCGATATACTGCAGGAGCAGCGCGACGCCCAGGATACGAATGGCGGCAGCCTATTGTCAGGATCTGCATGCATAATTAACGGCTGCGGTGCATCGCGCATCTTTCAGATTCTCTACAGGAATGAGGAAGTGGCGTTGCGCGATGTCATTCACTTTCGTACACACTTGTTGGGTGAGTTAAAAATTTATATACAAACATATATGTACTTATTGAATAAGTAAAGCTATATGTATGTAGAAATTAATGTTTTTAAAATTAAATGAAAGCTACATATCTTCCTCGAAATGGTGGCTTACTTAATGGTAGTCACCTAAGAACTAACTTGGCTATGAAAGCGGCTTTTCAAAGTGTCTGATAAGATGAAAAAAATTAATTTGTCAAGTGGCGCTGAAGCCAAGTTATTTTATTACTAGCTTATACCCGTGGGTTTCACCCCACATTTCTATTAACATATTCTGTTTACATATTTACAGTGATGGCCGATTAAATGACGATTTTAT